CCACTTCAAATATGACTAACTATCCGAGTTCTTTCTTGACTCTCACATTGTACCTGTCCTAAAGAAAAAATAATCTCTCTGTCCTTTGTACATACCAATAATTCTTAAACCTTAACAAAAAACATGATACCAGAATCAGCACCAGTAATTACTGTATACTTGCAAGGAACATCAAATAATAAAATATTTTTGTTTTATCTCAGGAAATAAATCCTTATTTCAAATGAATAGTTTGATCTGAACACTTACATGGAAAACAGAGACAAGTAGATTATTTTCTACAGGAAGCATGGATTAGTGAAGTGCTGAGATGAGCAGAGTAGGCCAGCAACACAGTCCTGGACTATACAATATTTTTTGTCAGCAATTAACACACTACTGGCATGGAATAAGAGGAGAGTGACATTTATTTTATATTTCCTCCATTCATTTGTAGTAGCAAGTGATTTTTTTTCTATAAAATAGGGGTAAACTTCTACACTTCAATAAATGTCAAAGTAAACTGAAAAAGAAAGCACAAAGTACATTACATTGAAAGACAAAATCAATGGCTTTGTAGAATGGCTATTCATTTTTTTTCTTTCCTTTTCTTTCGTTCAACTGATGTGTGTCAAGCTGGTATAAAAAGGGTGAACTGAACATCTGTACCAAAACGAAAGCATTTAACATTTCTGAGCAACTCAAAGCCATGGATGATTTATGGTGCTATTCTTAGATTTTTATCATGTATCTTTTCACTTTATTAAATGTGGACAGGCACATAAACCTGGTGACACTTCCTGATATAAAAACAGTGATTGAAGACCAATAAGGAAGAAAAAAAGAGGAGTCATTTGAGTCTGGAGATGTTCAGAACAGGGTATGATCCCAAGAAGATGAGTTGAATTCTGTGCCAGCCACTGTGCCTTTGAGAAATTGGCAGGGGCTTTGTGTTCAGGCAATCGCCTGCCTGCTGCCTCTCTAGGAAGTGCCAAGTAGGACATATAACTTTACTGATATAACTAGGTGGCCTTTTTTTTCCACGAGAGACACTGAGGCCATCATACTATTGAGCATTGAATGACCCTGGGAAGAATAAGGCTACTGTAATATCCTTTCAATCTTCAAAATGAATCATCTCTTTCAGTTTTACAAAAAGATGAACCAAAAAAAATGGAAGGAAGGAAAGGAGGGAGGAAAGAAGGAATAAAATAGGAAGAAAGATAGGTAGGACAAAAAATCTGAAGGGAGAAACAATAGCTTGACTGTAATGCAGCAATGGAGGCAGAAACCACATGATATTTTGGCAATGTTTGAATTTGTTTGCTGACTTCTGTAAAACATACTATGAGGAAGAGAAAAAATTGTCACAAAAAGTATCTGTATGTAGCTATTTCTACTGCACTGGACAGTTTGTTATGTATCTTAACAGTTTAGAAAGTGTCCACTGCCACCAATTAGTTAACTCACTTAGAAATTAGTATAAAATCTCATAAAACCATTCTAGATAGAATATCTGAGTAATGACTTTTGAAGACAGGACATTCTGTGTATATTGCCAGATGAGCCTTCATTTTAAGGCACATTGGTCAATACAACTCTAGCCAGTGCATTATGAATGTGAGAAGAAATAGATGATTAGAATATAACATAAAATATTAAATTATATCTAAATATAGGACAAATGTTTTGGAAAAGTCATTTATCTTTTTCTCACTTATTTAATCAATATTTCAACTGGTGTCCCTCAATTAGTATTGCAGGATACAAAGAATACAATCTTTCATTTCTTCGTTAAATAAAAATTTAAAGACTCATTCATATTTTCTGTATTTATTATAGTTTTGGCATTTGAGACTTTTTAATTTCCTCATGATAAGTTGCGTTTAATGACTAAATATAAATACTTCATAGTTTCTAAAAATAATTTGTCATTGGAAGTAAAGTCTTGCTCTTTCCAGTGTGTATGGCCATTGTACCAGGGCCATTAGGAATGTGTGCTATCTCAATTTCATATGCTGGGCAAAGACTCACCAGAGTGAACACAAGCTGACTGACCATTTAGTTCTTTCTCCATGAAGCCTTCTGGATGACTATAAATTACTCCCTACATGATCTGAGGATACAGGTGGCATTTTTAAGCCACATGCTTGACAAGACAAGAACATTTGATGGAAGACCAAGAAGAATAACTCTTCTTTCCAGGTATCACAGCAAAACTGCCTCAAGAACATGGTCATGAGCTTGGTCATAGTTTTATTTTAGAAGAATTAGTCAACTAATCAGGGGGGCCATTACTGACTTACTGTTCTATCTCAAACTTCATTTTGGATCTAGTGATGAGTACTTTTATGAGATCCACACAAAGCAATTTATTTTCTGTGGTGTGGGCTGGATTTAAAGATAAAAAATAATGAGATGAAAACAAACAAAATCAAAAGACAAAGAAAGTAAGTAAGAGAGTCCCCTTCCTGAAAATTGATGTTCCCCTGCGCAGTGGAAAGGTACTTGCATTATTAATATCTCTTTGGTGCATCTAAAACAAAACTCTTCGACTGTTCATGCCATGTACTCTAGAGAACAAAAGTTCTCCTAATCATAGCAAAGAAATCATTATTATTGATTAAAATGTCATTTAAGTCAGAGATCAGGATCCCCCCCAAAAGATCATTTTTGCTTTTCAAATTAACCATGGAAAGTTTAAACTGTAAGTGAAATGCCACTCTGTGCTGGTGCACGAATTTCCAATAATAGTATCTACTTTATACTGGTTCAAAAACATAGCCTTAATGAGGTTGACCTTTAAAGAGCTTTTCTGCAACTGAAATTCTTTAAAATGCTTCTATGTGCTACATCCCTTTGCAATCTACCTGCACAAATATGATTACAAAGGCTCTAAAATAAAAACTTAAATGTTTGTTTTAGGCATCAGACATTAGTTCTGTAGCTGCTATCAAACACCAAAGTTCTGTCTAGGTACCACTAAGAGATTTTAAAATTTGACCACACAATTTTACTTGTTGCCAGTTTTCCTAATCCCAAATTTAAATTATTGTGTGGATTTGAAAGGTGGACTAAAACCAGAACTTGCATTATATTTTCAAGCAAATACCTGTTAATGTATCCATTTATAAAGGCAGTTATCATATAATCTATTAATCCATACCTGGGGCTGGGAAGGGAGACTGCTCACTTACTAAAAGGATTGCTTTATAAGTGCTATGATCCTATAACCCTAGCCCTGAGAGGCAGAAGCAGGTATATACCCAGAACCAGAAAGCCAATCAGTGAAGATGATCAGTGAATTAGGTTTAATGAGACAACACATAACCCAAAAAGTTAAGGTAGAGAGAAACAAAGCAAAACACCCCATGTGCACTTCTGGCCTCTACATGCACTCAAAAAACAGCTGCATGTACATGGTGCTGGTTAATTTTTTGTGAGTTTGAAAGAAATTTAAATATACATGGGAGGAGGGAATCTCAATTGAGAAACTGATTCCATCAGACTGGCGTATCTATGGCCATGCATATGGGGCATATTCTTGATTGCTAATTGGTGTAAGAAGGCCCAGCCCACTGTAGTCAGTGAAATCCCTGCACAGGAAGCCTTGAGCTTTATAAAAAAAGACAGCTGAGTAAGCTAGGGCAATCAAGCCAGTAAGCAGCATTTTTTGTCGTGTCTGCTTCAGTTCTTGCCCCCTGTTCTGGCCTTGAGTTATTGCCTTGACTTTTCTGGGTGATAGATATAACCTGTAAGCAAAACAAGCCCCATGTTTCCCCAATTGCTTTAAGTCATGGTGTTTCTCGCTGCAACAGAAACAAAACTAATACATCCACACACATAGATATACACAAATAAGCACACACTCACATGCACACTCACACACAAGCACACATACAGAATCCACATGTGTCTATGTCTATCTGTGGTTTCCATCATTCAAAGCATACTTCTATATATTTTATTCCGGTACCACATTCTTGCAAGCATAGTTCTTCCTACTAGAAATGAATGATAGATTTGGGCAGGGCAATTTTATCCTTCATCCGAAGATCTTAACTAGCCTTTAGCCCTAGGGAGTGAAACTGTCCTTGACTTACATGGAGCCAAAGTCACAGCTCTCCTGAGAGTCGCTAAAGAACATTGCTTCCTGAATCTGTCAACATTGGAAGAATGTTTGAGATTAACTGTTCAGCCATGCTTTTCCACATCTTAGGGACTGAGAAGATTAGAAAATCCAGTTACTTTGCCACAGTAAATCATGTCCAAGACCACATGGTGTTAAACTTCTCATTTGCTCATTGCCCCTCCATTGCTCTTTACACTATTTCTTGCCTAGGTCCCATTCCAGAATTGAAAAACACCGTGTCATCAGACTTTGAAAGCAAATTGGCTAACAATAATGACAATGACTTTTATTTGGAAATGTTTATTTCCTTCAAAATCGATGCTCTTCAAAAGACACCATGGATCAGCAGTTGTACCCGATTAGGAGTTTCTTTAAGGCTAGTATACTCCCTATATAGGAATAAGCACATTATTTCCTGCTACATCCAATCTGCTACATACCATGCCAAACAAAGAACAGCAGATGTCACATATTTTATTGTCCTTCAGATGCTGCATCCAAAACACTTATTTTCAAACCTCTTCACACAACTAGCTTATTTTCCTGCTGTGTTAAAATCCATTTATGCCTCTCTTTATAATACCAGTGTGGTCTTTTACACTTTAGTCCTCCAAAGCATATGTCCTCAATAAAAATAAATAAATAAAGAAGGCTATTGCAAGCACTTGTCATTATCCCACTCCCAGGGTGTAACAAAAGATTATTCTTAGAATAATCATATTTATGCAGCTTCCATAAGTGCTTATTACCACAGCTTGTATCTTCATTTATATGAAAAACATGATTGTTTATTTAAATGAGATGAAAGTATTCTTATCTAAACCAAACAGCACTAAGTAATCAGATGGTGATTTTAATTCCTCCACTGAAAATATATTTGTATACTCACAGAACATGGCCAACTGCTGCATTGTAAATACTGCATCTACATACATTTGATATTTCAGCTTATTTTCCCATCATCACCTGCCAAAAGATATAATTTAATGGAAATTACATCAACATTAGTAGAGCTATGAATTTCTATCAGGACTAACAGCAAATTTTTGTTACTTATAAGAACATTAAATTTTTAAAGTCTTTTTGCTGATTCATTAAATGGATATGTTGAGAATATTATATATGTATAATTGATTAATATGTTCAAGGCACTGGTACAGTATATTAATAGAAAACCAACAGCATTAGACAATTCTTATGCAGCCTTCACATCCCCAGCATTGCATAAAACTGGGTATGACGGCACACACCTGTAATCCTAGTACTTGGGAGTAATATGCCAGAATATCAGGAATTCCCAGTGACTCCTGGCTACATAGTAAGTTTGAGACCAGCTAGAGTTATATGAGAACCAAAACTATGTCTCAAAAACTATGCACACACCCACGCAGAAAATTGTCATTTATTCAAAGAGCATATTTTGAGAGCCTACTAAATGACGGTATGATTATAAATACTTAAATCACATTGCTCATAGAACAATGTTCCAGTATGCTATGACAGTTGCAATAACTATCAGAGAAAAATTAAAACATTGGAAAAGGAATATCCAAGAAATAAGAGGTAGGGATGAAATTTTAAGGAGGTTGTTGAAAACAAGTCTTAATTCAAAGATATTCTGTGAAGACATTCAAAAGATAATAACTGTCTTTAAGTATTACGAACTTCAAAAGTTCTGCAGAGATGTGTGACCCATAAAAGACCGTTCAATGTCTTTGCCCCAAGTGATATGAAACACTAATCATCAAGGTAAACTCAAATGTCCATCTACTGTTATAAGAGGGACCATGCAGTGGGTCACTGCTTTATAAAGACTACAAAGATTAGAATGAACCACAAGGGTTCAGTAGTTTCTTCCATACACAGAGTCTCCAGGATTCATAGGATGCCAGTGACACACTCTACTTTCTCCCTGCTCCACCTCAAAATTACACCAAAACCAAAAGGGACACATTTTAATTTGAATTCATACTTAATCCAAATTTGAAGGCATGGAGTCACCAACTAATGTAATAAGTTTCCAATATTTATGTAAAGCTTTGAACTTTAGTGGTACTTTGAAGGTTTTTGGAATAATACATTATTCACAGTTTTCAAACTCCAAGTGTGATCTTATATAGAAGGAAGCATGTAAAGGATCAAGCAGTTAATCTGAAAAGATAACATGCATCCATGATTGTGAACGCTTGGGACTTACATGTGAAATTCTGTGAGTCTTATCTGTATGACAAAAATAAGTCAGCAATAGTAATCAATGAAATCACTCATTCACTTGACTCATATCAAATGCCAAATGGTATCTATCCATGAGGATACTGCCATGTACACACTAAGAGAACCATTCCACAAACAGAAAAGCTACTTTCTCTCATGGAAAACATGCAAATGTGTTTGAATCAAACCTTTTTTTAAGCAGTTTTCCTCCCAGTGCTGTAAGATCAAACAGGCATAAAAACCATAGGGTTGTATTTTAATCCTCTGTCATCTCTGACTGGAATACTGGGTTCATTGCATTCTTTTTGGTATAACTATATTTGACACTTGGATTTGTAAACTGCAACCAAATTCAATTCCTAAATCATTTTGTGGCCATTGTTTGATTTGGGGCCAGTGAAAGCATCATCCTGATGAAGTGGCGCTCATCACTATAATATCATTGTTTCCTTAAAAAATAATGAATTTAAACATTCCATGTGATGACTAACACAGGCCTTATGCAGTACACTTTTTGAAAATTAAGGATCTCACAGGTATTTAATGACAGGTAATTTTAGCTGAGGATAATTAATCTCAGGATGTGACCCTAGTTAAATATTTTAATAATGGGAAAAATCAGTGTTAAAATAATTCTGTTGACACATGCTAATTCATGAGGTATCTCACTTGCTCCTCACCATGTATTAAGAATACACATGCTCATTTCCTTATAGAAGACAGACTTCTTCCATAGACCCCACATACATTCTACTTTAGTCACATCATGATCATCTCCCGTGCAATGTCAATACCTGATACCCTCTGTTGTTTTGTCACTAATAACAAAAAAACTGTTCATCTTTGGTTCAGAAGTAGTATTCATTTTAGAACTATGGAGCATTAGTAGTTAAGTTTATAGATGTAAATGTAGATACTGAGGGCCAGTCACATGCTTGAGAACTACAGCAACTTTTTGGTACAGCTGTACAATTTGGTCTCAGGTAATTCCCAGTATCTTTGTAAATAAAGTGTAGAAGCTGATTAATGATATGGACAACTGTATCTGGTATGAAAGCATGCTAATAGTATAAATTGCCACAGACATTCTCAAGAGGGAACCAGCATCTTATTTAACAAGTAAGTCTAAACCACTAGTCTATTACTGTAGATAAAAGAAAGGAAGTTGGTTCTAAATCGATGTAATTATTATTTCTCCTTTCCTTGCTTTGCAATACGTTATTTCTACCATTAGATGCAAAGAAAGTCTCTGCCTCAGAGAGAGATCTTGCTGTCTAGAACACATACATTTCCAATTTCCTAGTAAGAGGAAGGGATATCAAAATTCCAGCATAGTGTTCACATAGTGATCTCAAATCCCATGAATAAAATCCACTATGTATAATTGGGTTCAGTCCATACTACAAGACATTGAAAATGGTAGTGATTCCAGGAAATTCCCTACTTGCATCCCAGTTCTACCTATGTTTATATAGTCCAGGCTTCCTTGGGGAGGCTTCTTTGTTTTTCCTAAATGAATGCAAAAGAACAATATGTCTAGAACAGTGAAAGGACAATGTCAATCTTAGTTGCATTATGAATAGGTGATTAGAATGCTAGTTCTTCACATTCTTAGGGAACGGAGACAAAGTCAAGGGTTTCAATCCAACAAATCAATGGTTTTGATTTACATGTTCCTTTCCTTTGACCTTTGTCTTAGTTCTGCACACAGACGCATGTTTAGTTCACCATTCAGTTTTACATCATCCTTTCTCTCTTCAATCCTTTAGAATGCTCATGTTGTGACTGAATGTTAACCAGAGAAGACACTGTTTCCAAATTTTGTACTTGAAACTTTATACTTCAAAAAAGCTAGGGTAGTTACCTAACATAGCTTGGCATTTTAGAAACTTTGAGTTTAGTTCAATTTATTGCTTTTCTCATAAATTAAACAATTGTGAAGTCAGTAATTCATATTTTATATATAAATACCATTCATAATGTATAAAAATATTAATAAGAAAACAGTCTCTATAAGGCTTCCTCCCTTAAATGTGTTGGAAATACTAATAACTTACTCAGTAGCTCCAATATATTTGAAGATGTTAAAGTAAATTACAGAAGAACTTAGAGTACATATGGATAGAAAAAAATCACTCAAGAAAAGGACTGCTATGGAGTTCACATGACTAATGCATCTGAGTATGAACATCTACATATAAATTCACAGTAACTGAGAAGAATGAGATAATCTGTAATATAGGATACATAAAAAAGAGAGTTAATAACAAATAAACTGTTTATCTTTAAAGCCAGAAAATCAGCAAGGGGATTGATGCTTAAATAAATCTAGATGCAAGTTCAGTATTGAAAGAACTGCACTTATAGACCTGTGGCAACATTAAATGATACTCAGTAGGGCCAAGAGGTTCAACAACTATTCTTTCTGAACCTTTTTTCATGGCTGAAGGGAGGAATATTTTCAATGGATTTTTCTCTCTATCTTAAAAAGAAAGTAAAAATTAAATCAAAGCCAGAGATTTTCCCTTCCAATGGAAAAATGTTCAACACCTACTTTCTAAATATTGCCTCTACAAGTAACTTACAGGTATGTTTGTTTGCCTTTGTGTACAAATTATCTAAGAATCTGACTGGAGAATATCCCATTTACACTTTCAAATATAGCATGTCTAATTTTCCTTTGAATCTTTTCAGGAAAAAGTTGAAAATATAAATTATATGCTTCACATGTTTCATTCAAGAGACATTTCCTAAACATAATAGAATAACTTTCAGAATTCATAATTTGTTGACTTTTTTCAGATCAGTTAATTTGTACTTCTATTTCTTTTAATGTCAGAAACTGCTCTTTTGATATATATCCCTCACTCAAGATGTCCTTTTTCAGTGCCACATGGAATGGTGTTATATATAAATTCTAGAATCTTCTTGAATGTAATAAGAAAGCCATATTGTAGAGACACCTGAACCTTTTGAAAGAAGAGACTTCAAGGAAATACTTTTATGAATGTTTTCTCTTTTTTCTGTCTTCTAGTTTTCCCCTTTATTGTCCCATTGACAATAACAAGTAAAATGGAATTTGAAAATATAGACTGGGTTTGGATGTCATTCTACATTACTAAGATTGGTGATGCTGGGTGTGGGACGCAATGACAACCTTGGTAATATAATTACTAGTTAGGCAAGATGAGGACGGATCATTCATTGTGCTGTCAAGCCTGGACTCTTCACTTCAGAGAGCAAGAGACACTTTTAACTGTATGCAGTTCTTAAGTAATATCCTTTAGGCTGCTAAACCTTAGAATCTATTAGAGAAATCTACAGGAAAGAAAATGGTAAGTGTCATCATTTTGGCATTGGAGAAAAGAACAGAAATGCCAAACGTATATTACTTATACTTACTGTAATGGGTGCACATCCTGTTGTGTTCTTTCGTGCAATTACAAATTCACATTAAACTAAATAATTACTATAGAATTAAAAATTATAAGCATGTTCTAACATCAAGTAAAATGTGTACAGTATATAACACATTGTGTCCTTTCTTATCCCCCAAGGGAAAATAAATACTTTGGAATAAGTTAATCTTGGTCTTTATAATTTTATGGACAAGGCAAACATCATATTTGAGTTAAAACAACATCAACAAAAAACAGTAGAAAAATGAGTTTGCAAGACTTGGCATTGTCATGGCAATGGCCTAGATTCACTAAGGAAAATCATTTTAAAATACACATAATGGGATTTTTTTC